CCCCCCTGGGGAGGGGGGGGGGGGGGGGGGGCAGTGAGTGAGCAGCTGCGTGATGCTTAATTGTTGGCTGGGGTTAAACCATGACGATAGGGAACTTGTCACTTCTTATTTTTTATTGTGCGTTTTTTTCCCAGGCATCTAAAAGTATTCTCTCATAATTTTGGGGGGCTTTCAGGTTTAACAAAAACAAAGCTTTATAAAAACATTTAAAGTTTTTTCATCTTACATAATACTTAGGAGCTTCTGATGAAACACAGTGAAACGTTATTAAACTTGTAAGGCTCTTACAGATAGGAAGAGGGAAGAAAAGCTTCAGCTTTTGTGTCTAGGATAGTAGACTTGCATCCTACTCTCTATTACTAGAAAGAAGGATGATATGGTGTGGCCAGCAGTTGCTCAAAAAAACAGCAGGTAGAAAGTTTTAGAAAAACAGCTTGAAAGTAAAAAAGACTTGTGTGAATAAAAATGCTCTGCCTGGTGATTTGGGGCAGAAGAGGGTCATAGCTGCTTTTAGTCTTACCAGGTCCATAAGAACTGTCTTAAGAAATCTTACTGCTTCCAGCATGTAAAAATGGAGTGTTTGGAGAGCAGCTCATAATGACACCTCTTTGAGGTGTCTATGCATTTGTTGTCTTGCTCTAATCACCTCGTAGTTACTGGTGTTGGTTAAATGTGCTGCGCTTGTAGATACTGTTTCCTTCTGAGAGCTCATGAGTGGTGCTGGGGGGGAGGCGTAGCAACTCTGGGCCCAGTGAATTTCTCATCCTTCCTTCCATTTGAGGGCATGTGAGAAAGCAAGCTCCATTTTCACCCATTTCTGCAATTGCTATTCTGCTGCTTAATGGAGTAGTCTCAGGAAACTCTTTAGCATCTAAATCTAGGTTATAGGGTTGCTGCCAAGAGAAAGGTCTGTTGAAAGAAAAGCTGTATAATCAGAGTGTAAAGCTACCTATGTTGAGTTAAGATCCTTGGTCAGTAACTGTGGATTTTACAGATGCTTTAGTTGGTCATTTAAGCTATACAGTTCAGCAGATAGACTTGCTTGTTTTCCTTTGCTCTTTATAAATCACTTAATCCTATATTCCCAAGGAATCTTGGGATCTATATATGTATAGATATAGCTGTACTTCCTCCCTTCTGAAGTGGACAGTTGGTTTAAATTTACTGGCCTGTCTCTTCTCTATATGTATAACTGTATGGGAAGGCAGGTTTAGAAGTACTTTGTCAATCAGGACTTCTGGAAATACGGAGTCTGCAAGTGAAAAATGACAACACGTTGTTTACATGCTTAGCAAAATATTCTAATAGTTCATAAAATTTTGCTATGAGAGAAAATATTTAGTAATGAACTGGTAGCACTAAAGCCTGCCTAAACCGTATTACTTTGCAAGTAGACTAAACATGGATTTGGGGGCAGGGGGGGAAGTGAGAGTTCTTTAATGAAGTTGCCAATGATGAATCTTCTAGTGGAGAATTTTAAATGGGTATGTACATGTTAAAGGTATGTGACCTGTCTAGTGGTTATCTTCAACTGGATTAATGTTCTTTAACCAAAAAGATGTAATGGAAAAGCTTTTTCAATTTTCAAAATTTTGAAGCCATACGTTCTGGAGATTATGTTAACTCAAGCAATATATTTAGGGAAAAATGTATAAAATTGTCTTTGTAGAAGAAGAGACTCCCCTTAAAGCCTTTTCCCTTCAAGTACCTTG